AACTCTTGGTGATTTTAATTATTACATTACACAAACAGAATCCTGTTAAATGAGGTGCAATTACAATACTTCCCATCAATTTAATTGACACCTTGATGTTAACCTTGAGATATATAACATTAATCTCTAGGTCTGGCTGGAAATGTTAATTTGGGAAAATAAAAATAGAACCCCTGCATTATTACCTCTGCTCAATCACTGTAGATGAAGTAGAATTACAGGCTGAGAAGATGGCTGCCACAGACAAATATAATTACACTTTGAAGACTATGGGTGATAAAAAAAAATTCTAATATGTACCTTCCCTCAGCTTCAATATGTCTTGTTAATTTGCCAATTGCTCTTGCAGGTGGACTGATTTTTGTTTAGAAAGTAAACTATAATGTTTGAAGTAATTTTAGACTGTTTGTAAGTTTGGGAAATACTGAGAAGATACTGTATCTAACAGAGCTTCTTATAACTGAAACCAAATACAGATTTTTTTAAAGTGTTATACTCTACCCTTTTCCAATTTTCCTTATTAGCAAGTTGATAATTTACCAACAGGCATTGGTAAAACACACTGAACTTTGAGTTGCCCTTTTACTACAAAACTGTTTTAAAATAAGTTTCATTCATGAGATGTTCTATAGCAATTTGACCATCCTTATCCACCTTGACAAAAGGAATATGGTAAAATAGCATATTCTCACATCTCATAAAAATGCCAAGTTCTTATTCTTACAAACAAATCAATGATGTTTGGGCAGATTTTCGGCATTTAGCAAAAAAAAAAAAGCCTTCCCCTCACAACTTGTCTTTGAATAGTAATAATAGAAGGATAGATTCAGTCTATCAGATTTAGAAATCAAGAATTGTAAGGATCAGCTTTTATAAATGGAAGCTTGAGGAAATATTTTTCTCTTTATTTTTTTCTATTCCGCACGTTTCCACTTTCCACATCAGTTAGCTTAGCACTGTTATCTTTCTTTTCTCGGAATTTCAAAATGGAAATTACTGACCCCTTGAAGCTGAATGAAACAGGCGTTATCAGTAGCCAATATCATTTTGACTGCTCAGGTACAATAGATTAGAAAAACTGGATGGTTTCATGTAGCTAGTGGGAATTCAAGTTAAGTAAATATTATTGTCTTTCTTTAGCTAGATTCAGAATACACTCAGAAAAAATATGAATTGCTCTTTGGGGCTTAATGTTTTGTGAAGCCAGATAGGCTGGTTTATGTAGTACACTGACTTGTCTGAAACCAGCCAAGGATGATCATTCCCCCACCCAGTAAAACATAGTTAAGATTTGCTTAACTTATAATACAATAGAGATACATTGCATGCAGGTCTCTACAATATAGCTTTAGTGGGTTGCAGCAGGCTGAGCTTCTTTGGGCCTTTGCTAAGCAATCATAACTCCTTAGCATTAGAATAGGAGACCACAAGGAAAGCCCAGGTCAGGCCACTTCATTTGAAAGATGAAGATTAATTATGTGCCATCAAGTTGTTTTTTGACTCCTAGCAATTACATTGATTTTCTCCAGGACAATCTATTAATGACAATTTATATATATTTTTTCCAAGTAAGCCAAAGAAGGAAGGAGCCAAGGGCAAATCACTTCTGTAGTTTGTTTGTTTTTTGCAGAGGAAGGAGAACAAAAACTGAAGTTAGCAGGAGCTGAGCTCAACTTGAAGTATATAAAACTTCATGGGGGACATGCTGTCAAATTATAATGAATAAACTCAGAACATGAGGTGTATACCACAGTCCCTACACTTGGATGTCTGAAAGGTGCTATATCGCAAGAAGACAAAGGCTTTCTTTCTTGTCCAATCAAAGTCGATAATTCTTGCTTTCATGACTTCTGCACATCACTTTCTCCTTTGCAGGGCCAAAGGCCATCAAAACCCTGCAGAGACGGAACTCAACCCACTGTTCTTACATTTCACCAGCAACCCTCCCTTTGAACTAGATTTCAACACCCACTATTACTCTACCAGCAATAGTAAATTAATGCAGTAACGAAAGTTGATCTTCTCAGCCGGAGATCTAAGACAAAAGGTTGCCAAAAGAATTCTTGAAAATCTTAAGATCGCCCCTCCTGGCCTCTCTTGTGTTCCCATCATTCCTGGATGCTTTTGCCAACCTAGAAAAAGCCAAGTTACATAGGGAGAAAAAGGAGTGTTCGAACATGATATGTTTCATTCATCTTTCCCACTAACATCACAATTCAGTTGATTTTTGGGGGCGGAGAAAGGGAGGAGCCAGCTAATGTAAGCGGTACTATAATTTGGGGATGCAAAGACCTGAATGTTATCAGTGAGCTTCTTGGCTTGATTTCTCCCTTCCTTGTTTGGCAGAAGGAAAAGATTTCAAGAGGTATTTCAGATTGCTCATTTAGGAAATAAACCCAGAGAGCTTTCTGTGTCCGAGTACCCAGACCCAAAATACAAAATGGCATCCATAAATGTATTTAAATTGATTAACTTGCTGTAGAGAAATAACACTCATTGAAAACAGGAAGGGTTAGGGCTATGGTGGGAAGGGCTTTCCTTTAAATACTGTATACAGTTTCCTTGACTGGGACTTTTTCTAGTTTAAAGAAAGGCTGGATGCTGAGTTATTTTTTTCACCTCTCCAAGATTCTTAAAAGGACAGGAAAAGGAAGCAATTCCATCAGAATAGAACAGAATCATAGGGTTGCAAGAGACCTCTGAGATTTTCTAGTTCAATCCCCTGTCCAAAGTGTAGGAGATTTTATACCATTCCGGACAAGTGGTTGTCCAATTTTTTCTTGAAAACTTTCAGTGATGGAACACCCACAACTCTGGGATACAAACTATTCCATTGATTAATTGTTCTCATTGTCAGGAAATTTCTCCTTAATTCAAGGTTGGATTTCTCTCTGAGGAGCTTCCACAGATTACTTCTTGTCCTGCCCTCAGAAGCTTTGGGGAATAGGTCGACCTCTTCTCTGTGACAATCCTTCAAGTACCAGAAGACAGCTATTATGCCTCCCCTAATTCTCTCCTAATCCTCTTCATTAGGCTAAACATACCTAGTCCCTTTAACCATTCACTGTATGATTTATCCTGCAGAACCTTTTTTTATCTTTGTTGCCCTTCTCTGCACTCTTTTAAGGGCCTCAGCATCTCTTTTGTATCTTGGTGACTAGAACTGGACTCAATACTTCAGAGGTGGCCTCACTAGTGCAGTATAAAGCAGTATTATCACTTCTCGTGATCTTGATGCTATTTGTTGATGCAGTTTGGGTAACCGCAGCACATTACTTGTTCCTACTCAAATAGTGGTCCGCTAGACTAGGACACTTGGATACTCTCACAGTTACTACTGCTGAACCAAGTAGTGCCTATTCCATACTTTTGCACTTGGTTTTTCCCACCTAAGTCCAGATGTTTACTTTTCTCATCACTGAACTGCATAGTTTTGGTTAGGGCCCAATGGTCAAGTCTGTCAAGGTCCTTCTGAATCTTGGGCCTACTTTCCAAAGTGTTAGCCATTCTCTCCAGCTTGGTATCATCTGCAAATTTGTGAGCTCCCCTTGTACTTCTTGTCTAGAATATTTCAACAGTACTGGGTCCAAGACAGAACCTTGAAGTACCCCACTGCATGCTTGCATCTATAATTACAATTACAATACTTAATCCAAATGTTTTATTGTCTCAGTCCCATAGCTCTATTTATTTAAATAAATCAGCAGTTAAAAAATAATATCTATTTCACTGAAGATAAAGTTCTAGATCCAGCTTAAATTGTATTGAGAACTGATTGAATGAATGGATTATATACTAAGAAGAAACAAAACAGTGGGATACATATTACATGCTAATAATTTACATAGCATTGATGCTGATTGTATCTGGTTCTAATCCGAATATTTAATTTCTTCAGTAATCATTTCTGTAATATCTTCTAATATACTGTATAAGTAAATGAATCTTAGTAATTAATATTATAGGAATCATCTTATTTTATTGGTGGAAGATCAAAAATGGGCAGTACAGGGTGCAATTTAAAAAAGTACAGTTACCAATACAGACATAGCATTTTTCAAAATTGCTTGTGAGTTTCTTTGTCCCTAGCTAGTTTAAGAGAATGCACACAAAATTGATGTGGCAATATTTGAGAAAGCAACTCTAGGCCAACACAGCCTTTCATTTTATGTACATAAGAGAATAGGCTGTTTGATGTCAGTCTTGAGATTAATTTTATTGATTTATTTTATTCTGTAAATTTTTATTCTGTAATTTATTAATAATTAGATTAACAAGTGCATAAACAATGATGTAATTTTGGAAAATAATTGGTAAAAAATAATGGGCTTGAAAGTTCCCTCCTTTGATCACTTCACATACACAGAAATTATATCACAACAAAAATGGGAATAGTTATCACGTCCCAGTAATTAAAATATAATTAAGACAAGTATATTTTTATTCCAATTTTGTTTTCTCCTCTCTAGAAATAGTTTAAAATGATATACTTTGTCGGTGAAACTGAAGAATCTTAGGGCATCTTCTGGAATAATAAATGGTGCTTTCTACTTTTCACATCCTCTTGTTTTAATCATTTCAAGTCCCCCAAGTGCCTTTGTGCTTGTGCTTTAACACAGAGGGGTCCCCAATCCCCAGACTGTGGACCTACACCATGCCACATGCCAGGAACTGGGCTGCACAAACAAGCAAAGCCCCATCCGTGGGATGCAGGCAGCATGTGAAACCATGCCCCCTCTGGTCCACAGGAAAACCTCTCTCCACAGAACCAGTCCCTGGTGCCCAAAAGGTTGGGTGCCGCTGTTTTAACAGCCAGGGTTTTTCTTAAATTGGCTTTTCATCCATGACTCTTTGCTAATCCTGAAGAATCTGTAGAGCTCATGTTTTCAGTGCAACAAACCAAGAGCCTCCTTCTTCTCTGGCACTTGCAGTCCCCTTAGTTGAGATCTGAAACAAAGTTTATCAACACATACTTTTATTTTATCCAGCAGATGTCGCCATTCTCCTAGTTACATCATTAGCTAGCTAGCTAGCTAGCTTTTTTTTTTTTTTTACCAATTTCTTGTTTATAGTTGCCTTATGTAATTCCCCTTGTGTACCAACTAACTATAAAATCAAAACATACCCACTTTGGATTTTCTCCAAAGGATTCTCAATCAAACCAGAAGCTTGCACAATTATTAGTTTTCATCCAAGTGGTGGAATAATTATCGAAAAGTACATAGCACCAGGGTGCTCTCTAATTGCCCCTTCTTCCTAATCCCTTTGTCCTTCCATGGCTCAAGGACCAGCTTGGGAAGTGGGCTCTGGGTTTCTGAGCTGTGGAAGCACAAATTGTCTCTTGCATATTTCCTGAAAGGAAGGTAAGGCCCTTCCTAGAGATAGAGCACTCTCAGTTTTCTGAGGGCTTTTTAAAAAACAATTCTTGAGATTCCACCAGCCTTCAGAAAGAAAGAAAGAAAAAGAAAGAAAGAAAGAAAGAAAGAAAGAA